TGTTTCTCATAAATCCTTTCATAAAAAGGATTACATTCATAGTTTACTCTTTAAATGAATCTGGAAGGATTTATGAGAAAAACAAGTTAGTTTATTAATTTAAAAAATAAGCCTATTACATGTTAACATAAATAACATTTTAAATAAAAATTATATCTTCCAAAACAAAAACAAATCTAGTAAGAGTAGCATTTTTTTTTACATCTTCCCCCACCCCCAGCCAAAGCTCATAAATGCTTCTGCATTCAATCAAGTTCTGAAAAACTTCCCTATATTAGAGAATGATAGTAGAAGAGGCAAATACTATTTGTTGGTTTATTTTTCTTTTCCATTTTTGGGGTGGTGGTGGTGGGAGGGGACAATACTTGGGATTGAACCCAAAGGCACTTTTACCACTGAGATAGATCCCAGTACTTTTTATTCTTATTTTGAGACAGGGTTTCGCTAAGTTGCCAAGACTGCTATCAAACTTGCAATCCTCCTGCTTCAGACTCTCCAGTCTCTGGAATTACAGGTATGTGTCACCCCCATGGCTAAATGATGTTTTATTATTAATATGAAAAATACTTTTGTATTTTCAAGTCCATTTAAAGGATCTCCAGACAATACTTCAAACTCAGACTCTTGATACCAAACTGCCTACGGGGTTAAAGGTATATACTAGCTATGTTTAAAACCCTCTTACCCCATTTTACTAGCTATACTCAAACCCTCTCTGACTCATTTCTTGCCTTTCAAAACTAGAGATAATAACGGTGCCTACATCACATAGTTATTACACACTTAGAATACTTTTTAATCACAAGGTGTTTGCTGTATTATATAATTAATCTTCATGAAAGTATGTGTATGAAATAGCTTCTGTTATCCCGTCTAACAGATAATAAAGAGGCTGAGTGACCTACACAAGGAAACACAGCTTAAATGATAAACTACACAAAGAAACATAGCTTAAGTGATAAAACTCGGATTTGAATTTAATACCTATTGACTGGGGCTGTAGCTCAGTGGTAAACAACTTGCCTACCAAGTACCAGGCCCTAGATCACTCCCAGCACTGCCAAAAAAATAAATAATGAACGCCAACTTTAAAACCTATGGTTGAAAAATGCAATATGTAATATGACCCCAATCTCATTTTTCGTATTACTCTCCTCAGTTTTCTGTTTTAGACACACTCTCAGTTTCTCTATGTCAAAAACACCTTCACCCCAAGGCATCTGTGAAGGCCTTGAATGGAATGCTATACTTGAAGGCCTGCCTGGAATGCTATATTGCTCCTATTTTCCCCCCAGTACTGGAGACTGAATCCAAGGGTGCTTCTACCAGGAGCTATTCTTCTTAAATTTTTTCTATATTAAGTCTCTGCAGCCCTTTTCCAACCACTGTATCTAAATAGCAGCCTTTCATCATTTCTCAGTATTTTCTATCACAACACAAGGTTTATTTCTTTCATAGAGTTCCAAATCTTGTTTATTAGTCCTTATTACTTATTGATTGTCTGTCTTCCCCCATCAGACTATATTCAAGGGGAAGAGAGTCCATGTCTGTATTGGAAATGCATGCAAACCTAACAAGCATACTATGGTATCTGGATATATGACAGGTATTTAATTACTTATTTTTGTTGAATTAATGAACCACACTGCTTAAATATTTGGACAAATTACTTAAACTCTCTGGGCTTCGATTTCCTATAGTTAGTTAATTTCTGACTCTAAAATCCTAAAAGTATATTTTACTGACTTTATTTGAAAAGAGTATACTAGCGATTACAAAGAAATTTTGTAAACATAAAGTCCTAATCAGGCTTAACATCTTCTAGTATCTAAAAGCAACTATAGAACAGAAGTAAAAATATGCTGTAAACTAAATAGACAATAAAGAAATCTCGAGATCATTTCTTCCACTGTATATTACATTCATCCAGTCACCTGATATGTGAAACTATAAATGTTTAAAAGCAAGAACTCAAGCTAGTATTCCAGCATGCAGCCCACTTCAAACCAACACTGCCTTATTTCCAGAGTACAGAACAACAGAGAACATTACAGAAAATTATTATCTTTTTGATGACCATGATAATACAACTTTTATTAGCAGACCCTAAATACAACATAATGAATAAAATAAACTGCTAGAATATGACCTGAAGAGGGTCAAGAATTATTTGCCAAAAAGCAAACTCACAAAATTTGTCCAAGTACAATAAGCTCTCTATTATCTACATGGTTYAGGAGTTCTGTCTTACCTAAGTCAACATATATAATTTGTTAAGAACTGTCAGTTTATAGTCAGAATATAAGCTGGCAACACAGCCTAATAGCTCCATGGCCTACACATTGTATTTCTCTGGAAAAGTTAYTTAACTACTCTGTGGCCTCAAATTCTTCATTTACAAAATGGGGATAATACAAGTACTTACAGCAAAGATTTTAAAAGACTAGGTAATTTAACATATAAGGTCTTAAAACAATGTCTGGCACAACATAAGTCTCCACAGATGTTAGCTACTATTATAACAGAAATAATATCAATACGATTATGTCATTTCTGGACAATTTAGAAACATTTTTCCTGCAGAGGTAAAGTACACAGATTATTCATCCTTTCTTTCAACTAATATTTACTGAACATCAATTATATGCTAGGTTTGAGTAAGATGTTAAGGATATAACAATGAGCAGAGCAAAGAATGATTAAATGCTAAAGGATTTTTAGAGAACCAAAATTATTGAATAATATACAATGGAGTTCTACTCAGCTATAAAAAGAATGAAATTATGGCATTTGCAGATAAATGGATGAAAATGGAAAATATCATGCTAAGTGAAATAAACCAGACTTAGAAATTCAAAGGTCGAATGTTTTCTCTCACATGAGGAAACTAGAAAAAACATAAAAAGGGAAGGAAGGATAAGATAATATAAATAACCAATCAAACAGAAATTAATAGACAAGTAGAGGATAAAGAATATGGGAAAGGGGAGGAAGAACAGCAGGGAAAGGGAGAAGGAAAGTGGGAGGGATAATGAACTACAATTGATTTTCATGATTATGAGTTTATGGTGATGAACTCAATTATTATGTATAATTATTAAGCTTTAATAAAAAATTATTATTGGGGGGGGCTAGGGTTGTGGCTCAGTGGTAGAGTGCTTGTCCAGCATGTGTGAAGCACTGGATTCAATCCTTAGCATCATATATAAATAAATAAAAGCCCATCAACAATTAAAAATTTTTTTTAAAAAATTATTATTAGATAAATCAAGCTATATTATTATCAGGACAACATGTAGAATAGCCAATAACAATTTCATTACTGCAAACTTTCAAACCTGGTCAACACTTATGAAGACATGTCTAAGTATATGTCTGAAATTTAAAATTAAGACATGCTATTATTGTAAAAACCAAATTCCCTAAGGAAAAACTTAAAGCTGTCCTTGTTTTGTCTGGTGCAGAAGTTAACAGCCAGCTATGGTTATTTAAAATAATTAAAATGAAATAAAATTTACATATTTTCCTCCAATCTGGGGAGAGAAGAGACTGGACACATTCTGTACCCTGGATTGCTGACGAGAAGACCCATCTGGTTTCACTTTATGAAATCTGCCCTGTTTCCATATACCATTATACTAGATTGTATCTAGTATAATCCCAAATTTCTGAGAAACTAAACCTGGAGAACACTTCTACTCACCTATTGTAGGTTCTCCATATGTACGCAAAATTCTGAAATGGGATCAGTTACACTTAGAAAAACATCCCAGACAATTTCATTATTCCTAAAGAGGTAGGGAGATGGTGAAGAAATACCACTGCACAGGGAGGGCTCAATAAAGCTGGATTTGCATTCTCCTCACCTGCCACAGGTTCTATATTCTAAGTCCTTTCTCAAGTAAGTCTTTGCAACCTTCACATCCAAGACTGCATTATGGATCTGTAAATTGATGATGGCAAATTCATGCCTGCTTCCGGTGAAAGTTTTAGCTGGCATAGGTGAGAACAGTGTTAGTCTAACCTGACCTACAGCCATTACTAAGACTTCATAAGACATTTCAGTGAGATCAGCTTTTGATCATCTCACACCTAGCACACTGAGTCTGAGAGTAACTCTATGTACACTGCCTTTGGGAGTCCTCTTGCTTCCCAACTCCACTTAGAATCTTGTTTGTGTGAGGCTTCCAGCAACCTTGCCCTGTCAGCCACTTCTGAATCCCCACCAAGTGTCTTTCTGGATGGATTCAACTAGATAATTTTGCTTTTTCACACTCCTTTCCTTCATTTGTCTTGGCATCAGTTTTCTCTGAAAACAGTAAATTTGTTGGGTTTTGTGCAGGATTTTGGGTTAGAGCCACAATGAATTTGGGGAATGAGTATTTTCTCTTGGTTTTGTATATTTTTTACATTAATAACAAATATCAGAGAAAGCAGCAGCTAATTTTTTTTTAATGTAGCATTAGCTAAATTTCGAACAGCCAGAAGCCACACGTGGCTAGAGTCTCTAATTTCAAACAGTAGAGATACTGAACACAGCCATTATCACAAAAATTCTACTGGATAGCACTGATTTAGATGTAGCTAGACAATGTAATTTTGTTGACTAAATTCAATAACTCAAATTCAGCTACTACTAAAAGAGTAATACTGGGCTGGGGATGTGGCTCAAGCGGTAGCACACTCGCCTGGCATGCGTGCGGCCCGGGTTCGATCCTCAGCACCACATACCAACAAAGATGTTGTGTCCACTGAAAACTAAAAAATAAATATTAAAAAAAATTCTCTCTCTATCTCTCTCTCTTTAAAAAAAAATCACATAAGCATTATTAAAAAAAATAAAAATAAAATAAAAGAGTAATACTTTAAAAAATGGAATTCAAAGGCAATAATTAAGATATGATGATTTCAGGTAAAGATTGTATAATAAACATAAGTTACTCTATATGTCTAACTATAAGGGAAATGTGTTCTTTAAAAAGTTAAAGTCCTAACTTTACCTGTGTTAAAATCAGTTTTCTAAAGGAGGAGGTGGCACAGGAATGCAGCAGAGTTCAAGTGTGGAATTCATTTGTTGAGAGTTAAATATTTCCCAAACCTATAAAAAATAAAAATGAAAAAATGTGAAATATTAAGATAATATTCTCAAGAATATAGCACAAAGAAAGAACAGTTTTAATGAGACATTTATAATACAGGTCATCTAATTTTTTAAAATATGGATTAAAAAAATTTTATAATAATGAGTATACCTATGTATCTTTATCAAACCTAATAAAAATGAATTTGGAGAAAGTGTGAATTTTAGTTTGAAAATTTGTCATTAATTATCTTTAAGAACTTGGGTAGGTAGAGGTCCTAGGCTGGATTTATAGTACCCACCCACCCCACTAATTTTTTTTTTCTTAAAAGTATGCTGTATAGGGGCTAGACTGTGGCTCRGCCGTAGAATGCTCGCCTAGCATATGCAAGGCCCTGGGTTCGATCCTCAGCACCACATAAAATAATAAAATACATTAAATAAAGTTTAAAAAAAGTATGCTGTATAAAACCAAACTTAAATAAGTATCAAGTGGTACAAATTAATTTTGAATCAGTTTCACAACTAAAAAATTTATAATTTTTTTTTACACAGAAAGTGCATTATTTGAATTTTTAGCATAAAATCATAAAGTGTTTTGGTCAGAGAGAACCACTTTAAAATGGCTAACAATAGAGACTTCTTAGAAAGTAAGAAGTCTCTTTTCATATATTTGCTGACCACATTACACTCCATTTCTTCTTTAAAAGTGCATCCCAATTTTAAAATTTAAAACATTATATGTACGTGTCATAGATCCTGGCCAAATGTATTTTTTTAACACAAAGAAAATACAACAAAATTGTCTTAGAGATAAATTACATTGTCCTTATAAAGTCTTCAGTATTCTTTAGACTGAAGAGATATCTGGAACCCCTAACTCTAACCATAGTAATGACTTTTTAATCTCGTATATACTGGGCCTTCACATGAAATTTTTATTTTATGAGTAGATTCTGCATGGCAGGGAAGGGAACTAACACACCGTCTCTGGAAAGACAAAAAAAGAGACTGGTAATATTTTTTTGGAAGGCACATCTGATTTTAAGACAACAGGGTGGGAATAAGACTCTGATCATCTTTTGTACCCTGAAAATTTTGAACCACAAAGACAACTGCCAGATTTTGAAGCAGTGTGTGTGTAGAAATACTGAAGAGCTAAGTGGAGAACCTCTATAGAGAAAGATCTCCCATAATATTTTAAGACTAAGAATATGGATATTCATTAGGTTCTCCATTAAAAAAGCAAAAGGGGAAAATAAGGGCAAATGAGAGAGAGAATGAGTTTTTTTAAACTTTTAACATAACACTAAAGCACCTTAATCTCTGGGTGATTGGAGGTAATTAGCCCCTCACCAGCTTGTGTAACAGTAAAGTGTAAAAGGCCTCTACAATTCTTTCAGATACAAAATCTAGCACACAATTTAAAAAAAAAAAAACAATAAGAATGCAAAGGAACAATAATATATGACCAATAATTAAGTAAAAAAACTAAAGAGAATCAGACCCAAAAATAAAGTTGAAATATATGGCAATTATTTAAAATAATTCTAACATATTGGGGAAAACAGATAAAATTGATGAAAGATGGAGCAGTTCATCCAATGAATTAGGATCTAATTTTTTTTTTTTAATCAGGGATCTCACTAGATAGTCTAGGATGCCCTTGAATTTGCAATCTTTCTGCCTCTCAATTACATGTGCATGCCACCATCCCTAGCTCCCAACAGACATTCTAGAACTGAAAAATTCAATCTAATTAAGAACTCAATATTTTTGGTTTTATAGCAAATGGACACAATATAGGATTAGTTAACCGAAGACAAATTAATATACAATGCCCAAACCAAAGTATAAAGAGAAATGACTAGAAGAGAAGGGAATGAAAAGGCAGGGAAAAGGACAAAAGGTTTAAGAGAAAGGTGATACAGGCTCAAAATGTATGTACACACACACACATACACACACACACACACAAATAGAAGCCTCAAACAATAGCACAAAGAGATAAAAGCAATATTCAAAAAAAAGAATAGCTAAGAATTTTCCAAAACTGAATAAGGAAATCAGTCTGGAGACTGATCATGCTCTACTAACTCCAAGCAAGACATACCTAAGATATCAAACTATGAAAGGAAGAGAGGAAGAGGAAGAAAAAAAGTCATAATAACTGCCAATCTAAAATATTATACCTAACAAAAATATCCTTCAAAATTAAGGTAAAATAAAAATGCTTACAAACAAACAAAAAGGGGGAAATTTCTCACCAGTAAGCTTATATTACAAGAAAATTAAGTGGAATTATTCAGACAGAAGAAAACCATCCTAGATGGAGAACACGGAAACACAGAAAGGAATAACAATGCAGAGTAACTGAATTGCCTTGTAAGGTTTAAAGGTTCTAAGATTTTAGCAGTAATGCGACAGTGTTAAAAATCATACTTTGTATTATACATGCAATAAATTAAAAATAAATGTTATAATTTTTAGGGTAATCATTAAAATTATAATACATAACAATTCAGAAAAATGTAATATTTACGTAATCTAAAAGCATGCAAAAAAAAAAAAGAAGAAAGAAAACAAACCAGATAAGCCAAACAGAAAACATATTATACATACAGCCCAACATATCAATAATTGTATTACAGTCTATGGAAAAAAAATACTTCAGGTAAAAGTCTAAGTTTGCCAAACTGGATTAAACAAAAAAGAATCATGGGGCTGGGGTTGTGGCTCAGCAGTAGAACGCTTGCCTTGCAGACATGAGACCCTGGGTTTGATCCCCAGCACCACATAAAAATAAATAAGTGAAATAAAGGTATTATGTCCAACTACAACTAAAAAATAATGTTTTAAAAGAATCATATCTCTTAAAGAGATAGACTTTAAATATGTGCCCAGAAAGATTCAAGTAGAGGATAGGGAAAAATACACCATACCACACTAACCAAAAGAAAACTGATGTACTCTGGTAATTTCAGTTAAAGATTTAGAATTTAAGACAAGAATCATTGCTAAAGATGAAAGAAATATTACATAATAATAAAGGGATCCCACAATCACAAATTTTTTATACCCCCATAATAACCTCAAAATACCTGAAGCTAAAATTTGCAAGCTTTAAAGGAGAAACAGACAAAGCCACAATCACAGTTGGAGACCTTAACACACCTCTCAATAGTTGACAGAAAAAGCATTAAAATCTAAACAGTGCAATAACAAACTTGACCTAAATGACCAATACAGAAAATCATACCCAGCAACAACAAAAATTATGATCTTTTTCAAGAACGCATGAAACTTACCCAAACTGACCACATACTGGGCTACAAGGAATCTTCAACACACTTCAAAAAAAAAAAAAAAGATGATGCCATTCAGAGTATACTCCTTAACCACAACAGAAATTAGAATTCATTAATAACAATAACAATAAATAAAAACCTGGAAAAACACCAACTACCTGGAAACATAAAATTACATTTCTAAATAATATTTGGATTGAAGAAATCAAAGCATAAACTACAAAATAGGTTAAACTGAATACTACTGAATATACATTAAAACTTATGATGTAGTTATAGCCTGAATTGTATATATAGACAGTCCTTGATTTTCAAGCAGCAACACAGAATAGAAAGTGACACAGAAAACAAGCATACAGTAGAAAAAAAAAACAATGTAGTCAAAGTTGGTTCTTTGAAAAGATATATAATAAAATTGATAAACCTTTAGGCAAACTGATTAAGGAAAAAGAGAACACAAATTACTACAGAATTTTTAGACATCAAAAAAATATGAAATTTTATGCCAATAAATGTAACAGCATAAAATAGACCATTCCTTGAAAAATATAAATCACCAACAATGAAAGAAATAGACTGCTCAAATAGCCCCAAAGATATTAAAGAAATGGAATCTGCTATTAAAATTTTGCATAAAGAAAATCTCAGATGCAGATGGTTTCACCAGGGAATTCTTCAAAACAATTAAGAAGAAACATAACTCTGTTACTCCTTCTAGAGAACAGAAAATAAGAGAACACTTCTTAACTTTTTTTAAGAACCAGAACAAAAATGATGCCAAAACTGATTTTATAAAGAAGAAAATCATGGACTGATCTAATCAACACAGATGTAAAAACATCAATGTACTGGTGAATAAAATTTAACATTATATATAAAAATAACATATATAGAAAGGAATTTAAGAGTAGTGTAGAAAAAAATTCATATGATTATCCAAATATGTATAAAAATAGCCTGTGACAAAATTCAATATTCATTCATGATAAAATCTATTGGAAAATTCACAAAGAATTTTGGATAAAAAGAAAAAAAGCCCACAGGAAGCATCACAGTCAATGGTAAATGATTAAAAACTTACCCTTTTCAAGCGGAAAACAAGTCATAGATGATCATTATCATCATTTCTATTCAACATTTTACTGGAGGGTTTAGCTAGTACAGTAAAACAAGAGAAACAAAAAGAATAAGGACTGGAAAGGTAGAAACAACATTATTCATAGATGATATGATTATGTCCTAAGAGAGTCCAAAAGATTCCTCAGACTATTAGAATTAATAAGTAAATGTATATTTCTGGCTAGAAGATTAATACTAAAAAGCCAATCATACTTCTATATAAACCAGCCATGGATTTTTAAAATATAAAGGACAAAATAATTTTTTAAAACTAGGAATAAATCTAACAAAATTTGATTTATTTATCTCTAACTAAAGTATAAAAAAGGGCTGGGAATGTGGCTCAGTGGTTAAGTGGCCCTGGATTCAATCCCCTGTACCAACAACAACAACAAAAGTTCCTAAACTGCAACATAAAGAAGGGAAATGCACATGAGTAAAGGAGGCAGAACCAAAAGTCCAAGTAGACTAAAGTGTTAGATAAAATAATGGAGAAACACAGAAAAAAAGAACACTGGAGATCTACAGAAGATCCCCTGATCAATACTTTTAAGGAAACTACCTGAATATGGAACAAGAAGCACCTAAAAGTGGATATAGCAATGTCACAGAATTCACATAGGGCCATAAATAGTGCCTCTTCTCACCAATCAGATTAAGGATTGGTATAAGTAAAGGGTCCTCCCTAATAAAGGGGGAATTAAAATTAGCCCTACACTGAGCACAGATTCAGTACTGTCTAGTAAATCTTAAAATCAAACCCTGAAGAAAATCAAATTGTTTTCAAACAACTGAAAAAGAAAATAGACTTCAAAAATATTTTTAGGAATACAAAAATATCCAGAACACCATAAGATAAAATTCATAGTATCACATGCTTAATAACAAAATTACCAGGAATAGAAACAACCAGCCAAACAAGATCCATAATAAAGAAAAAAAAATCAGCCAATCAAAATTGACACAGATGTTAGAATTCTCAGACAAAAATATTTTAACAGTAATTATAACTATATTGTTCAAAACATGAGTCACAGAAGGTGTTAACAAAAATTTTTAAAAGACAACCTAATCGGGCTGGGGATGTGGCTCAAGCGGTAGCGCGCTCGCCTGGCATGCGTGCTGCCCAGGTTCGATCCTCAGCACCACATACAAACAAAGATGTTGTGTCTGCCAATAACTAAAAATAAATAAATATTAAAAATTCTCTCTCTCTCAAAAAAAAAAAAAAAAGACAACCTAATCTTTGAGGCAAGGATTGTGGCTCAGTGGTAGAGCACTTGCCTCGTACATGTGACGAACTGGGTTAAGTCCTCAGCATTACATAAAAATAAATAAATAAAGATATTGTACCCATCTAAAACTAAAAAAAATATTTTTAAAAAGACAACCTAATCCAAACTACATTATAAAAATAATAATTTGTGAAATTTAAAAATGAGAATAACATTAGACATTGAATAAAAAAATCAGTGAACTTAAAGACAAAGCAACAAAAAATAATCAAAATGAGACAGAGAATTTAAATAACCTGTTATTTTTCAATAGTGCCCACCTTTGACATRAAGAAGAGCTCCAGTGCCAACTCTTAAAATCCCTGGTAATCCTGGCTGAGATTTATGAGAAAATGTGTCCCCCAAAACAAAAGAATCAATATCAGATAGCTAAACCTATAGTTAGGGTAAGGAGAACTTTCTGACCCACTGGYTTTAACACTAAAATTTTTTCTCCTTCTCAGAGAAAACGGAAGGAATACAGATGTAGGTCCCACTAACGTGTATATATTTTTTTTCCTTTTATCTACAATCAGTATTAGCAACCAATAACCCAAAGAAAATATTGCAGTGCTATCAATTAGTGATTACATTGCATAATGTCTAGCACAGCATTTCTAATTCCTTCCATTTTAACCACAAATAAGGAAGCACTGCATAGTTTGTTATCTGAAAAACTTCTAAGATGATAATGTAGTATTAGTATAAGACACCACTTTCTCAGTGGTGCACACCTGTAATTCTGGAGGCTCAGAAGGCTGAGGCAGGAGACTTCAAAGCCAGCCTCAGTAACTTAACAAGGCCCTGTCTCAAAACAAAAATATTAAAAAGGGTGGGTGGCTGGGGCTCAGTGGTTAAGCACCCCTGGGTTTATTTTGAAAAACAAAATAAAAACACCTTTTCTTAATTAATCAACTCAAAGCACGAGACTGATAAAACTAGGAGAGAAGAGACTACCAAAACTTTAGCAAGTTATAATCTCTCTGCATTACTGTGATGATCTGTTTTTTCCCAATTAATTCCCAAGAAATTATGTTTTACTACACAAAACCAGTAAAATATGTATATATCAAAAATGTGGCTTTTCACTTTTAAAATTTTCTAACAAGTCTCAGAACTTAAAAACCAGAAGTATACCTCCATTCAACTTAGAATAAGGCCAAGAGAAAAGTAAATGCTATGAAATCCTGTGTGTGATTTAACAAATTTATGTTGGCTTTTCAAAACAAATCACTGAGCCAAATGAAATAACAGGACCCTATGGATACCAAAATATGGTTCTTTACCTAAGATGGCATCATATTTGCATACAACCTACATTCATTCTCTCATGTATTTTAAATAATTTTAGTTTCCTTAATACAGTGCAAATTCTATGTAAATAGTTGTTATACTCTATTTATTTAGATAATAATGGCAAGAACTTCTATATATGTTCAGTACAGATGCATTTTTTTTCTCTCTTAAGTATTTTGGATCTGTGGTTGGCTGAATCCATGGTTGCAGAATCCACAGATATGAAGAATTTATTATAGTGAAATAAGTTAAAAGTGTTCCTTAAACCTGGGAAATAAGGGGGTATGATAATGTCCCTGAAACTCTGTGAGATGTATTTATAAAAGTGTATATTTTTCTAGATCCACAGTTTTTTAAAAAATATTTTTCTCAGATGTTGATGGACCTTTATTTCATTCATTTATTTATATGTGGTGCTGAGAATTGAAGCCAGTGCCTCACACATGGTAGGCAAGTACCCTACCACTGAGCCACAACCCCAGCCCTAGATCCACAGTTTTTATCAAATCTTGATGGAATGTAAACCCCCAAAAGATGAAGAAATACTTTTCCAGGCAAACCAAATGAGAAGTTGCTGAAGAACCCAAGAAATAAAAAGAACCATAATATGTAATTTGATCACAGGGGAATAAAAGTATTATAAGCCAGGCATGGTGGTGCACACCTGTAATTACAGTTACCCAGGAGGCTGAGGCAGGGAGATCACAAATTCCAGATCAACCTGGACAACTTAGTGAGATTCAGACCCAAAACAGATTAATTAAAAAAAAAAAAAAAGAAAAGAAAAGAACTAGGGGATATAGCTAAGTGGTAGAATGCTTACCTAACATGCATGGGGGTCTGGATTCAATCCCCAGTATCATAAAATTTTTTTAAAGAAACATAATTTTTGCAGTTTAAATATATAATTTGCATCTTATGATCATAATATTCTATCTATATCTTATATATCATAATCTCATAGCTGTTTGTGAAAAGCTGTATTTCACTACTTGTCTTAATTTTGAGGTYTAGAAACCACAAGTATTTCACCAAAAATATATGCCCCAAGTTACAAGGTACAGGTAAAATAGGGAAATCCTGTTCATTACATAAGCAACATGATTGACTGCAAATTAAATCATGGACATAAATCAGTCAGCAAATGAAATAACTGACCATATTTTCATGGAAATTACAAAATCATATTAAACATACTAATTTTTTTAATTAAGCATCTATTCTATCTTATCATAATGCAGATTATTTAACAGTGCTTTTCATTGCTATACTGAAATTAGAATAGAGTCACAAGTTTCTTAGTGGAACATAAACTATGAAAGGGTTATGATAAATCTTTTGCAAAAAATCACAATACCATGATGATTATACATAATTTCATGTCTAACAGACAACCTTTGATTTTCCTGAATAATAAATGTTGTTTATAATCATTCTGCCTTTGTTATTTTTTAAAATATTTTTTCAAATGGTGATGGACCTTTATCCATTTATTTGTATACAGTGCTGAGAATTGAACCCAGTGCCTCACACATGTTAGGCAAGCACTCTACCACTGAGCCACAACCCCAGCCCAGGTCTTTGTTATTAAAAGCAATTCTTCAAACAATAATAACTATGAGCAAATAAAATGGCTGTCATAAGTCACACTAAATTTGGGAGTTATGAAATAAARGCTAATACATTTTTTAAGGGGCTCAATCCTCAGTGTATAGCTCAATGTTAACAGTGCCTGCCTAATATGCACAAAGCTCTGGGTTCAATACCCAGAACGGAAGGAAAAAARGGGGGGAGGGGGTCAAAAATAATGCATGAGCCTATTCTAAAAGGACATTAAAACTGACCTTTGGGGCTAAGGCTGGGGCTGGGACTTAGTAGTAGCGTGCTTGCCTAGAAGGTGTGAGGCACTGGGTTCAATCCTCAGCACCACATAAAAAATAAATTAATAAAGGTATTGTGTCCATCTACAACTAAAAAAAAAACCCACTTGACCATTAATAGACAATTTTCAAAACATTTAATTAACTGAGTCCCTAAATAATACAGGATTGCACCAACATTATAAATCAGCTCATCATCCCTTCCCTGCATGTCCCACACAGGAAGAAGTCAATCTACTAAAGAACAAAACAATGGAAGCAATGATTACCAAAAATTTGGTCCTAGATGTTAATCTAGGTCCTAAATATTAATGTTTTTAAATTATATAGTTTTAGTGATGTCAACTGTCCTTTCCCTTTTTGAATGTTTGCCTGCTTCAGTCACATTGGCTTTCTTACTTTCTCTTGAATATGCCAAATTCATTTTGCCTAAGGCTGTATGTTTCCTTTACCTCTGCTGTCCAGCTGTTCACTTTATTCAGGTTTGGGATAGTCAAAGGACTGTAGGGAAAGGTTCCATCTAAAACATTACCTGTCTCACTGTTTACTGCTCTCAATGACATTTACTATTATTTGTTTACTGTTT